GCAGCCTGGTCATAAAAGTGCAGGCTCCCTGCTCTGTGGGAAAGCGTCTTGGTCAACAACCCTTAGCTCATCTCCTTGTCCTAAACAAATAACTCAGCTATCCCTGGCTAAGAGATTAGGCCAGGTTAAAGGTTTACCCCTGACCTAACAGCTTTTAGCACTAAGAAAGAAAACATTGTGGCCCATAAATTACTGGATGGGCATTGATAACCTTGAGTAAAAGTTTAAGAATCCTTCTGGCGCCAACTAATAGACTAAATGTCCTGTTTCTTTGTATCCTAAATCTTTGTATGTGATTGCCATATCCCACGTGACTGCTAGTTCCTTGGGATGTATAAAACCTATCTGAATTCTAAAATAAATCATCCTGTTGGGAAGACACAGGTCCCAGAGTTTGTGACTCTGTCGCCAATCAGACCCTCTGCCTAAAGCCAGCAGGTACCTCGCTAAGCAAAGCAAACCTGAGTCCAGACATAAACTCAAGTCCTTTTGCTTGCACAGCAAGCACATTATCAACAGAGCTCTCTCCCCAGTCTCTAGAAATATCTTTAAAGAGACCAATTTGCCTACTACTCCCATTAGGAACCATCTATCTCTTTGAAGAGTAAGCTTTGCTAAATTAATTTCTGCTTCAACTGAAATCTAACATAAACATATAAAAATTGTCTTTATGCTCAGTGCTCTAAAATTAGTTTACAGCCTTTTTTAAAAACTTTATTTATTTACTTTTATTTTATGTGTATGATTGTTATGCCTGCATGTATGTAAGGGCACCCATGTCATGCAATACCCACAGACGATGTTGGATCTCCTGGAAATGAAGTTATGGACAGTTGTTAGCTGTCATGTGGATGCTGGGATATGAACTCAGGTCCTCTGCAAGAATAGCCAGTGCTCTTAACTGCTGAGCCATCTCTCCAGCCCCCTAGTTTACAACCTTTAATGATGCCCCAAATGGTAGTCTGCAAGGAAAATTTCCCTAGGAAAAATACATATGCAGATAATCAAGAATTTGCTACTTAGCAAAACATTCTTGCCTCTGTACTCCTTCTTGGAGGAGTAAAGAGGAAGCTGGAATACACAGACCATCCTGCTTGGAGGTGTGATCCCAAAAACCAAAGGACAGCGCATGCTAAAAAATCTGCTTTGACCACCCCCTGTTCCCATGCAAAATTCATTACTCAGGGGCTGGAAAGACTGCTCAATGGTTAAGAGTGCTGGCCATTCTTACAGAGGACCCGGGTTCAGTTCCCAGCTCCCACACAGTAGTAGCTCAGAACCATCTATAACTCTAGTTCCAGGGGATCCAATGACCTCGTCTAGCGTTTTTATACATGGGGCACTTACATACATGTAGGCAAAACACTTTATACACACAAAATAAAAAATAAATTAAAAATTTCTTAAAATAGGGCCGGGTATGGTAGTGCATGCCTTTAATCCCAGCACTTGGGAGGCAGAGGCAGGCAGATCTCTGTGAGTTCAAGGCCACCCTGGTCTACATAGTGAGTTCCAGAATAGCTGGGGGGCGACAGGGAGACCCTGTTTCAAAAAGACAAAAAAAAAAATCTTAAAAGCATTACTCACAGTTTCAAACAGCTCTTCCATCAGCCCATTCACTTCCTTTTCTGTGAAAAAGTCAAGAAGTATGAGTTATGAGAACTTACTTTCATTTAGCAGTAAGGAAGAACTCAATGGAGAATGCATGCTGCTCCTCACAAAGCATCTGAACAAACGCTCATATCTATCCTTCATCAACTCAAAAAGTTACTGAACATCAACTGTGCCTCAATTCCAGTTCCAGGAGAGAAAACAGAGTTCTATTTTCATGAAGTTTAAATTCTAGTGTGAAGATATGTAGAAAATGTTAGATGATTTATAATAAAATCAGAGTTAAACTCCCAACTCTTGGGAGGCTGAGGCAAGATAACTACTGAGAATTCAAGTCCATGTCAAGCTATTATATAATGAGTCTGAGACAAAAAGATAAACAGACAGCAAAAGCTATCTGATAAAGCAAATATAAGTTGTTTCCCACTCCCTCCCTCGCCCCACAACCACTTTTCAGTAGGTAAAGGTACCTGCCACCAAGCCTCACAGCCTGACTTTGATCCCTGGGATGGACATGGTGAAAGGTAAGAACTGACTTTACTAATCTGTCCTCTGAACTCCATGTGCATGCTGTGGCACAAATGTGTCTACACACATACACATACAAAATAAATAAAAATGTTATAAAAATTTTCTTAATTAAAAATGTCACATATAATTCTTGTAGCTTTTATATGTTTTCATAATAAAATACTAAAATACAATGGAAGGTAAATATAAAGTCCTCTGAAACCATAAGTCAAAGTGAAATCTTCCTTCGATTGCTTCTGGTGATGGTACATTATCACAGCAAAAACAAAGTAATATATACCCTGGGGGTCCTGGGGCTCAAACTCAGGTTTATCAAGCTAGGTAGCAACCCACTGAGATAGCTCACTGTCTCCTACCCAATTATTTTTTTTTTAAAAAAACAAATGGCTGGGGCCTGGGTGTGGTGGCACACGCCTTTAATCCCAGCACTTGGGAAGCAGAGGCAGGCGGATCTCTGTGAGTTCAAGGCCAGCCGGGTCTACATAGTGAGTTCCAGGACAGCTGGGGCTACAGGGAGATCCTATTTTAAAAAAACCAAAAAAAAAAAAAAACAACAACAAATGGTTCAGCCGCCTGTAATCCCAGCACTCAGGAGGCAGAGGCAGAGGCAGGCAGATCTCTGTGAGGTTCAAGGCCATCCTGGTCTACGACGTGAGTTCCAGGCCAGCTGGGGCTACAGGGAGATCCTGCCTCAAAAAGACAAAACAAAACAAAGCAAAAACCAAAAAAACAAATGGCACAAACATAGCTATATTCTATATGTCCAGGACTGTTCTCTTTACAACAAAATCAATACATTAAGCATATATTAAATTAATATGATCTTTCTAAGATCCATGTCTAAGATCCTATTTATTTCCTGTTTAAAATTCTTTGAATGCTCAAAGACCCTCTCTATCAGTCACTTTTCTGTTGCTGTGATAGAAACATTATGACCAAGGAATTTATAAAGAGTTTGAGTTTATGGTTCCAAAGGGGCAAAAGTCCATCACGGTGGGGAGGCATGGCAGCAGAGGTGACTAGAGTAGGAGCAGAAGCTAAGCTCTCACATCACCACACAGGCACAAGAAGCAGAGAGTGACCTGAAATCCGGCAAGGCTTAAGGACTCTCTAAGCCCACCCCCTGTGACATACTTCCTCCAGCATTGCCACACCTTCTAAAACCTCCCAAAACTAACTGGGGACAAAATGTTCAAATACTTGGAGCCTATGGGGGACATTCTCATTCAAACCACCATGCCCTCCTTGATGTAAGCACTACTTATCTTTCCTTTACCACTGACTCAGATAATTACGTCAATTTGATTTACTATTTTTCAAACAGTTTTTAAAGAATTTTTCTTTTTGGTCTTTTTTGAGACAGGGTCTCAATAAAGCTCTAGCTGATCTAGAACTCACGTAGGCTAGGTTGGACTCAAAGCACAGAGATCCATCTGCCTCTGTCTCCCAAGTGCTGGAATTAAAGGCATGTGCCACCATGGCCAGCTAAATGCCTAAATTTAAAGACTTACAGAAATAAAGGAATCTTAAATGTCTTAACTTGAGTTAGCCACAAACTTCCAAAACATCTACAAGATTAGCAAAGAAAGATGAGGAAGAGACAAGAGCAGGCTTTCAATACTCACTAGTAATTCTTACTGCCCTGTCAGTACGGAAATCTTCTGTGTCTGGTTCATCAAGATCTTCCAGGAAATTATATTCTGGATCATCATCATCATCTGCTTCATCTAGGGGGAAAAACATTTAGACACTTATTTCCAGCTCTGAAATCTGAAAACAATATTTAATTTTCTGTCTATGAGTATTTTGCCTGCATGCATGTAAGTGCACCTATGTCATATAATACCCAAAGAGGCCAAAAGAGGGCACTGGATCCCCTGGAACTGGAGTTTCAGATGGTTAAGATACCATGTGGGTGTTGGGAACTAAACCTGGGTTCCCTGAAAGAGAAGTCAGTACTTTTAACCACTGAGCCATCTATCCAGCCCCTGAAATTTTTTTAAAGCAGAGTGTCTCTATGTATTCCTGGCTGGTGTGGAACTTACTGTGTAGACCAGGCTGACCTCAAACTTGTGATGATCCTCCTGCTTCTGCCACTAAAGTCAAGGATTACAGGCATACATCACTACGCCGCCATGCCTAGGCCTCAACTCTGAACTTACTGCTAGCAAAAACTTAAAAAATCTATTTCAATAAAGCACATATATTCTTTTAAAAAAAATTTTTTTTTGTCTTTTTGAAGCAGGGTCTCCCTGTAGCCCCAGCTGTCCTGGAACTCACTATGTTGACCAGGCTGGCCTTGAGCTCACAGAGATGCGCCTGCCTCTGCCTCCCAAGTGCTGGGACTACAGGCATGCACCACCATGCCCGGCTTCTTTTAAATTATTTTATTATTTATCTATGTGTATGTGAGAGTGTGTTTGTGTGTGTACATGTGGGGCTCAGAGGACAACTTGTAGGAGTTGGTTCTTTTCTTCTATCATGTGGGTTCCAGGGATCAAAGTCAGGTCACCCGGCCTGGTAGAAAGCACCTTTACTCACTGAGTGATTTTGCTGCCCCCCATCCCTCTTTTTTCTGAGACAGGGTCTCATTAAGTTACCCAGGGCCGCCACAAAGTTGTGATCCCTCCTACCGTGGCCTCCCCAGTGCCAAGAGTACAAGTGTGTGCCATCTCTGCCCCACTTTCCTTGCTTTTTAAATAACTATTTTTTTTTCAATAACTTTGTATAGATTATTTTCCACAGCTGACTTATATCACCTACTCTCTCCAATAAGCCAGGTTCTTTCTCTCCTTCAAACAAAAATCAAATCTCTTAATAAGCAGCAAAAACAAGAAAACATTTTTCCCATATAATTTGTCTCACTAATCACACTTTGAGCAGTACATCTCACAAAACACTTTTTTCTTTCCTTTTGGATTTATACGTTTATTTATTGTGTATTTGTATGTGTATATATGCGGGTGCCAACATGTCACAATGCATGTGTGGCAATCAACTAACAAGTTGCAGAGGTTGGTTGTCTCCTTCACCATGTGCATTGCAGGGATTAAATTCAGGTCATAAGGTCTGACAGCAAGCACATTTACCCAATGAACCACTTCCCTGTCCCTGAAACAAATTTTTTTGTAAAAGCTATTTGTACAATGATAGTGAAAAAAAAAAAAAGGAACCAGACAAATTCCCAACAATTAGGGAAAGACTATAATTGTAACGTCTGGGGCTGAGGATACAAAGTTCAGTGGTATAGCATTTATCTAGGGTATACAAAGGCCTGGGTTTGATCCCCAAACCACACACACACACACACACACACACACACAGACACACACACACACATACACAAACACACACACACGCACACACACACACACGACATTTATGATATGTATTTATGTAGTCCTAATATAATTAAAAACTACAGTATGGTCAGGCATGGTTGGGCATGCCTTCAGTCCCAGCACTCAGGAGGCAGAGGAAGAGGTAGGCAGACCTCTGGTTAGTTCATGGCCAGCCTGGTCTACATATCAAGTTCCACATCAGACAGGGCTACATAGTGAGATCATATATCAAACAATAAAAACGGGGGCTGGAGAGATGGCTCAGCAGTTAAAAGCACTGGCTGCTGTTGCAGAAGACCCAAGTTTGGTTCCCAGCACCCACATGATGGCTAACAACCATCCATAACTATGGTTCTAAGGAATCCAATGCTGTGTTCTGCTCTCTGTGGGCATGACACACACACAGACACAGACACACACACACAATGCACATACATGCAACCAAAACACTCATGAACATAAAATAAAAATAAATGAATCTTTAAAGAAAAAGTAAAAGAGAGCAAGAGAAGATTTGTATGGATTATTTTATAGATGAAAATAAATAAATTTTATCATCAAGTGAAAAGAGCAAGGTGCAGATGTATAACAATGATTAGGATTAGCCGGGCATGGTGGCACACATCTTTAATCCCAACACTTAGGAGGCAGAGGCCAGCCTGGTCTATATAGTGAGTTTCAGGCTAGCTGGGGCTACAGGGAGAACCTGTCTCAAAAAGTCAAAAAAACAAAACAAAACAAAACAAAAAAAAACCCAAAACATTGGTTAGGATGGTTCTATGGAAAAAAAAATTTATTTGAGATAACTATTGCTTAGTTAAATACACAGAGACTATTTAGAAAGAAATTAAAAACAGAGACTAGGGACAATGTAACTCAGTGGGTAGTGCTTTCCTGGCATGGATGAAGCCCTGGGTTCAATTCCCAGCACTGCATAAAACGCCCGGCAGAACTTTTTACTTTGTATCCTTCGCTAAAGTTTTCTTTACAATAAAATGCATTTTTGTTAAAAATTTTGAAAATGCACACATTTTTTTATAACCTAGTCTCATTATATTGCTCAAATTGGTCTTGAAATCTTGAGTTCAAGCAGTTCTCCTGTCTCAACTTTCTAGGTATTTGGAACAACAGGCCACATATGGCCTATAAAACACAATTTTAGCCAGGTGTGGTGGTGTACACCTGTAGTCCCAGCACTTGGGAAGCAGAGGCAGGATGATCTCTGTGAGTTCAAGGCCAGCCTGGTCTACATAGTGAGTTCCAGGGCAGCTGGGGCTACAGGGATACCCTGCTTCAAAAAGACAAAAAAAAAAAAAAAATTCCACAATTTTATACACATCCATTGGAAAATTTTAATATAATTTGCACTGATTACACATAACTGCTTATATAGTCTTTTTAATCTATAGTTTTGAGGGAGCTGGAGAGATGGCTCAGCAGTTAAGAACAGTGGCTGCTCTTGCAGAGGACCCAGGTTTGATCCCTAGCACCTACACGGCAGTTAACAACTGTCCATAACTCCAGTTCCAGGGGAATCTGATGCCCTCTTCTGACCTCCACAGGCATTGTATGACACAGGTGTACTTACATACATGCAGACAATACGCTCATGCACAAAATTTAAAATAATATTCATATGTGGGGTATGTGTATGTACAGAGACCAGAGGTTGACACTGGGTATCTTCCTCATTCTCCACCTTGTTTGTTTTTTTTTTTTTTTTAAGCTTACTATGTAACCCTGGCTGGTCTGGAACTAATTATGCAGACCAGGCAGGCCTCAAACTCACAGAGATCTGCTTGCCTCTGCCTCCCAAATGCTGGGATTAAAGGCATGAACTACCATGCCTGGCTTCTCACCTGATTTTTGAGAATAGACTCTCTCAGTGAAGCTGGAGCTTGCCAATTTGACTAGAGACCCTCTTGTCCCCTCCTGCTCCAGCACTTGGTTTATGAGCAAACACCCCAGAACTTGGCCGTTTTGTTTTTTATGTATATGAATTGTATGTATGTATTGTATATGTATTTATGTATGTATACATACATATGTAATGTATACGTATTGCCAGCATGTAGGTAAGTGTACCCGTGTCATGCAGTGCCCGCACAAGTCAGAAGAGGGTGTCGGATCCCCTGTAACTGGAGATACAGATGGTTGTTAACCAACATGTGGGTGCTGGGAACTGAACCCGGGTCCTCTGCAAGAAGCAGCCAGTGCTCTTAACTGCTGAGCCATCGCTCCAGCCCCGCCCCCTTTTTTTTTGTCTTTTTGAGACAGGGTCTCCCTGTAGCCCCAGCTGTCCTGGAACTCACCATGTAGACCAGGCTGGCCTCAAACTCACAAAAATTCACCTGCCTCTGCCTCCCAAGTTCTGGGATTAAAGGTATGTGCCACAGTGCCTGGCAATGGGGATCAAAAATCAGATCCTCAAGCTTGCAGGCAAGCATTTTATCAATGGAGCCTCAGCTCCCAAATTAAATAATTCTGAAGGAATGGATTCCCATCTTCCTAATCTCCACAGTCTGTACTGCAAGTCTCTACAGTTGGTTCTTTTCAAACACTGATGAATAAAGAAAGTTCTAGACAGAGCCTATGACATATGGGCAGTGAGTACAAGTTTGGACCCCATCTGTTCAGTGCATCAAACAGTTTCTGTCTATACTCATCAACAGGTCAGCCAATATTTTTATCAGAGCACCTATGTGACAACATGCTTCAGAACTGCTTAAAAGAATTTCTTCCAAGTTCTGCCTCACTGTCAGTACCTTGGTTGTGGACTATACCCTCGGGCCTGATTATATTTTGTATTGAATAACACTTTCTGACTTTTAATAACATGCAGATCAGATAGTGCTAGAACTTGTGAAAACAGTTGGCCAAATAATATTATAAAAGTAGACAGGATATGAAAAAATGTGATACTGAATCCCGTATCTAACCACTCCATTTGCTAGTTCTGAGGAAATTTAGCTGGTAGACCTGATCTAGAGACCACACTGCTCTGACCATTGGCCTTGTGTGCTCATGTCTTAAGCATCCTAATGTACACACACAAAAGTGCTACAGCTTTAAAGAAAGCTTTCACCTGCTGTGGGTCTCTCTTCCCTTGTGAGTCGTTGGCCACCGATCCGTGAGAACAAAGGGAGCAGAAGTGACAAACAGGGTCAGGACGACAGAAAGAAATTCCAGGAGTCAGCTTCAGTGCGACAGCTTGCTTACTTAGGGGAGTTGGAGGGAAGATATAGGGTGAGGACGGCAGCCAAAGTTTTACCTGATAGGTGTTCACAGTATGCTTTATTTACATGTGGCAGGAAGACCCTATCATGCAGAAAGGGGAGGAGGGGTTGACTGGCTCTAGTGCAATGCCTAATTAGTATATGGGAAAA